TCTTGGGCTTTGGATGATTTTGTTAGTTGTTTAAAAAAAGCCTCACCCACCTGGTAAAATAAATAGAACTGGAAGAGACCCTGAAAGGTCATCAAGTCCAGCCCCCTTCCTTTACTAGCAGGACCAAGTACTGATTTTGCCCCAGATCCCTAAATAGCCCCCTCAAGGATTGAGCTCACAACCCTGGGTTTAGGAGGCCAATGCTCAAACCACTGAGCTATCCCTCCCCTTGACAAAGATGGGCCCCAACAACGACCCAGAAGCTTTTCTGGTGACTTTTGAAAGGGTGGCCTTAGTCGCAGGCTGGGCCAAAGACCAATGGGCTACATTTTGGCCCCGTATCTGACCGGAACCGCCCAAACTGTATATCGGGGCATGTCTACGGACGTGGCATAGGATTACACCTGGGTAAAGGCAGCAATCTTAGATGCCCTGGACGTTAACCCAGAGACCTTCCAACAGTGGTTCCGGAGCTTGGTCTACCCTACAGGGCCCGACCCCGGATGGCAGCCCAAGAGTTGAGGGGAAGCCTGCAAGCGGTGGCTACAACCTGAAGGGCGAACCCTGGATGAGCTCATTGAACAAATTATTCTGGAGCAATTTGTCCATATACTCCCATTGTGAGGAAGGGCCTGGGTCCTCCGCCATCGGCCTATGACCTTAACTGCTGCCATCACACTGATGGAGGATTTCCTCACCACCAACGCACCAGTGCGACCAATCACTCGAGCTGCCCCGCCAGGACCGGAGTGCCCTAACCCAGAGAAAAGGGGGGCCACCAGGAGCAAACCATGAAATCCGTCACAGGGCCCGGAGCCCCGACCCCGACCTGTCGAGGTCCAAGTTTGACAAGCCCGGCACCTCAACCAGATGCCCGAGGGACCAACCAAAGCCCCCCGCAGGGGCCAGGCGGGAACAGTGTCCCGGCCTGGGCGCTTGGATATCGGACCCTGTTTTTCCTGTGGGAAATATGGCCATTTGCAGCAAGACTGCACCGAGATGGATTGTAGATTTAGATAGTTCTGCACGGGAGAAGCCCGCGCACAACGCTCACAAGCCGCCAAGATTACTGTGCCAGTGGTTGTCGAGGATTGCCTAATTGTGGCCCTAATTGACTCAGGCTGCGGCCAGACGCTGGTTTGCCAAAGCCTAGGCCTCCAGGCTGACCCACGCCTGGGGGCGATCTGTCTACAATGCATTCACGGCGACGTACGACCCTACCCCAGTGCCAAAATCCGACTGACCATGGATGGAGTCACGCGATCGATGGTCGACCTGGATCCTCGGCTCGCCTACCCGGTAATCCTGGGGCGGGGCTGGCCAATTTTCCTGGAAGTCCTCCGCTCCAATGCCGACGAGAGGCCCCGCAACTACCCCAGTACTGGAAGCGAGCCTCCCTGAGACCCAGTCAGAGGGGGAGGAGGCACCAGACCCCAACAGACGGGAAGAAGAGCCAGAGGACTCCCATCCAGAAGCTGCTGCTGAACCCCTGCTTCACACTGACTTTTGTCGTAACCAAAGGGCAGATCCCAGCCTCAGTCACGCTTTCGAGCAACTAGCCACAGTCGATGGGGCCGACATTGACCCGCACCGGGCGAAGCAGTGGTCACACTTCAAACTGTGACAGGATTGGTTCGATCGGGTAGAATGGGACCCACGCACTGGAGAACCCCAGAGCCAACTACTCATGTCACAGGCGGGCAGTAATGAAACTCACCCACGACATCCTGGATGCTTTGCACTTGGGCCACGAGAAGACTCTAGCACGGATACTGACATGGTTCTTCTGGCCCAGCGTTCATCAGGAAGTAGGGAACTATTGTAACTCCTGCCCAGAGTGACAGCTAGCCGCACCCCCGCGGACACCCAAGGCCCAGTTGATTCCCATGCCCATCGTCGAAATGCCCTTCGAACGCGTGGCCATGGACTTGGTGGGGTCCCTCCTGAAAAGCACCGTGCGATTTCAGTATGTGTTGGTCCTAGTAGATTATGCTACCCGTTTCTTGGAGGTAGTACACCTGCGGAGCATCACCGCCCGAACCATTGCAGGTGAGCTAGTGAAAGTCTTTGCTCGTGTAGGCCTGCCCCGGGAGATTCTCATGGATCAGGGCTCAAGCCCCAACCTATAACCGAGACACGCAGAGCCACAACTTTAACAATGGAGACTGGGTCCTGCTTCTCCTGCCCTCGAGCGGGTCCAAGCTACTGTCCCGCTGGCGGGGCCCCTACGACGTGGTCCGGAAGGTGGGGCCCGTCACCTATGATGTCAACCAACCGGCCCGACATAAGAAAACCCAGCGGTACCGTGTCAACCTCCTGGAGCCCTGATGGGAGCATGAGGGCTTATTAATTAACCCCTACCCGCCGGAGCCAGAACTGGGCCCCCATGCCACCCTGACCCAGAACACCAAGGGGCCCATGCTTGCAGAGACCCTCACGGACGAACAACGCAAGCAAACCCGGTGCCTCCTGCAGGCGTTCCCGTGAACCTTCACTGGCCAGCCAGGCTACACAACCCTGGTCTATCATTCCATTCAGACAGAACCTGGGGTAGTGATCCGAGAAAGGACAAGACCCTTGCTGGACCGCATGCAGCAGGTCGTTGAGGAAGAGGTACAAGCCATGCTAGAGCTGGGCATAATTGAACCCTCACAGAGTGAATGGCGTAGTCCGACAGTGCTAGTACCCAAGCCCGAAGGGACTTCCGACTCGTCAATGCCATTTCCGAATTTGATGCATATCCTATGCCGCGCGTAGATGAGCTACTTGGCTGGCTAGGGGAAGCTCGCTTCCTCACCACACTTGACCTCAGCAAGGGCTACTGGCAGATTCCCCTTGACCCCGCTTCGATGGATAAGACCGCGTTTGCCACTCCCACAGGTCTGTACCAATTCACCCGGAGGCCCTTCGGCCTCCACGGAGCCTCTTCCATGTTTCAGCGGCTGATGGACCGTGTCCTCCAACCCCATCGAGACTATGCGGACACCTACTTGGACGATGTGATCGTCTACAGCCGCCACTGGGAGGATCATTTGGTACGGGTAGCTGCAGTCCTGAGATCCCTGCGGGTGGACGGGTTGACAGCCCACCCAAATAATGCCGCATAGGATGGCAAGAGACTACTTATCTGGGCTACACTATAGGGAACGGACAAGTGAAGCCCCTCATGGGAAAGGTCCTGGCCCTGGCAGCCTGCCCCCCTCCCACCACAAAGCATCAGGTGTGACAGTACTTGGGGCTTCCCGGCTATTATTGGCATTTTATTCCTCATTTTGCATCTGTCACCGCGCCGTTGACTGGCCTTTTAACCAAGGACAGCCCTCGATGTGTGATTTGGACCCAGGAATGGGAAGACCCCTTTCAGAAACTCAAAACAAGTCTCTGCCGTGAACTGGTCCTCTAAAGCCCAAATTTCAACCGGGACTTCGTCCTCCGAACGGACGCCTCAGAGATAGGACTGGGCGCCGTCCTGTCCCAAGAGATAGATGGGGAAGACCATCCGGTCTTATATATTAGCCAGAAATTGTTTCCACAGGAGAAGAACTACGCGGTGGTGAAGGAGGCCCTGGCAGTGAAATGGGCTTGTGATGCCCTACATTACTACGTGCTTGGAGCCCCGTTCACCCTAGTCACTGACCACGCCCCGCTTCAGTGGATGAATAAAATGAAAGACAATAATATGAGAATACAGCAATGGTACCTGGCATTCCAGCCCTATGCCTTTACGGTTCACCATAGGGCAGGCAAGGACCACGCTAATGCTGACTTCCTGTCATGCCTGGGAGGTGTGGAAGAGTCCAGCCACGAGGAGCGGAAGCCAGACTTAAGGGGGGTCTGGCTCCCCACCACCCCAGAGGGGATGAGCCTCTCTGGACACCAAAGTGGACAGAGCCAGGAAACCCTGCGCCCACCCCTCAGAGGACAGGAAGTATAAAAGCCCAACCCCAGAGCTCACTTGAAACTCAGCCACTGGAGAGACCAGACACCTGTGGCGTAGCTCCCAGTTGGGAGACCACGGCGATCGACGG